TTGAGAAGCCTTGTAAAAAAGGCCTTTACTTGTACGACTTCCAGGACAAAGTCAAAGACTACAAAACATTTCAGCCACTTTTATTGTTTATTAGCCTTTTTCATCTTTTCCGGAAATTGAAATTGCATTGTGGGTCGGGGAGCCCTGCTACGTCGAAACACTTACAGCGGTGCTAAAACCATGGCTGGGTTTACGTGCTTTTTGTCCCGCTACTACAATAACAGTAAGCGAGATCGACACATGAGGTTTAATAAGTTCCCAAAAAACCCGTTAGAATGAAAAATATGGTAGAAAGAAAGGAAAATATAGCAGGTTTGGATCAAAAGCAGGGCACCGCGTTTGCGCTGAACATTTCGAAGGCGGGAAGAAAAACTATAATATTAGGAGATCAACGGTGCTTTAATAAAAAACAGAAATGCTTAGTTAAACAACGGATATAACGAACTATCGGCAAATAAAACTCGGGGGTAAAAAATGCGAGAAAAAAAAAACATTATAAAGATTTGAGGAAAAAATTGAAGAATAGGCCGGGGCCTAAAAATTAAGAAAAGACTTCAAGCATGAGATTATGGAAAAATAAAGTAAAAGCTGTGAAGTTTTACACGGGGATTCTACTTACAAAAAATTCAAAAACTTTCACGACTTTTTGTGTAACAACAAAGAGAAGGTTTGAAAAGTTTTGTATGTAATATCCTTTTGTGTGTGTTTTATTGATAAGTGATCTTTTTTAATGATGTACTTAGTAGGCCCATCACAGGTTTTAGTCTCGAATAACCCTTAGCAGGGTGGGTTCTATTTTTTTTTTTACGTGAGACGTTAATAAAATTTTTATTATTATGTATTCAGTCCCGTATACGTATTACTGATTTGTACAAACAGGGCTCATATTATCAAGATCAACAGAGGCATACGAAGAAGAAAGTACATCGGCTCTTGTTTAACGCGTTATCGGCGAAATAAAAAGTTATTTATTTCTGAACTCAATGACAAGAGAATTGGAAAATACAAAAAATGCAGAAAAGCCTTTCTGTAAGCTACACGTACAGGTACATAATACATGTATGGTAAAGACAAAATGGATAATAAACATAATCCAACAACGTATTTGTAAAGTAATACAAATATGCTTAGTATTAAAGTAGGCCTACGTATATTTAACTGTCTTAGATAGTTGAAAAGTATGAAATGTGTGGGAAACACTTTATTTGAATTATTTAATTGTCTGTGATTGAAAACGATGAAAATACGCATGAAAACATTTAAAAATCAAATAATTTGGCCTCTTGCTATAATTTTGTTTTTGTTTCAGTTTGACAAAACTTTCATACTGGTCAGACCGAAAGGCTGACATTTTTTACCTGTCGTAAATTTTGTACATATAGCCTACTAGAGTAAGACACGGTTAACTTTAATTATCGTCTGGGAAAGAGTCGAGAATTCCTGTCTCACCTATTTAACACTTAATAGGTTTTAATTACAGAGGAAAGGTCGTAGTTGTGGCCGCCCGCCTTACCGAACAATTGAACAAGTAACACCTGATGCCTTATCAGGTACCAAACGATTTAATCAGTTCACCGACGAACGATCTGCGTGTCAGTTTTACCTGTATACACAGTACAAAATGTAGCTACGAGTCAAACAATGCAGGAAATCTTTTCATTTTATCACTTTAAAAATCTCTTAAGATATCCTTCAAACAAGACATAAAAATCGTAATGAACTGACACTGCCGGTACATGAGGTGATATCGCCACAGCTTGCATATATACATGTACAAAATTGTGAAGACGTAGGCCTGCGCACCTGTCCACACTCTTGAAAGCTGTGTACGAGTCTACTGGTTATTTTGATTTTATATATAGAAAAATAACGAGTCTCTTTCGCATATCTTTATTATCGGAAGCATTTAAAAGAACTCCGAAGATTTAGTTCGTCATCACTATTGAAACTACAGCCAAGGCTCGGACGCTTAGGTGAAGTCTAGTTGTAAAGCATATCGTATTTAAACTGAGAAAGAAAATATTTNAAAAAAAAAAAAAAAAAAAAAAAAAAAAAAAAAAAAAAAAAAACCCTCTTGTTTTAACTCAGGTGCTTTGTTTCATTTATTTATAAATTTCTGGTTAATTACCTTGGGTCAAAGTGGCTAAAGTTTTGGACTTAAAAGTTTCGGCCAACTTTGATTATTTTTCTCGATCCAACCTGATCTAATTAGTAACAGTTTATTGATTTACAATTTGGAAAGCTTAACATTGAAATAAAATTGAAAATTTTATTTCAATTTTATTTCAATGTTAAGCTTTCCAAATAAAATTGAAAATTGTATAATAAAATCTGCCATTAAGCATTTTATTTGAAGTAGAAAAGGAAAGGGCTCTGAAGGTCAAAAGTGTAATGAATAAACATGTTTGGTAGATTGAGAAGCCTTGTAAAACAAGGCCTTTACTTGTACGACTTCCAGGACAAAGTCAAAGACTACAAAACATTTCAGCCACTTTAGTGTTTATTGTCATGGTTTTCAACAAAATATACAGCAAAATGGAGAATGTCTAATTTCATTATGATGTATGAATAGGTCCCTATATTGATTTTTGAGAAGATTATTGTCATTGATCAGTGAAATGGCATCACTTTAACAGAGCAAGTGCTTGATGGTTCTCAAGTCATCTTTCTCTGTATTACCATCTATTGATTTCTGCAGAGTAATAACGGCAAATATGCCAAGACATAGACCACTGTCATTTTGTCATTTAGTCTCTTGAAACCACCAAATGCACTTTTAAGAGTAAATTACTTGGAGAAAGATTAAAATTTATGAATAGATGACAGGAGATGGCTGTAGTTATGAATGGTGAGATATGTCCCTTTATCCGTCTAGCGGTCAGAATATATAAATTGAACTTGTGAGATGGAAGATGACACGTAACATGAATCACCATATTTCCGCGATTGTCTAGGAAATGTGTAGGAAGCATGCAACAGTTAATCAATGAAGGATGTTTGTCACGGAAAGAGTTGATCACCGCTTTGTTTGGGCGCAGACGGAGAAATGATCTGCTGGTTATTCAGAGAAATTTAATATTAGTACAGTTATGTTGAGTCACCGAAGTAGTTTTAGGTGTGGTAGGGTTAGAGTTTTTTTTTTTTTTTTTTTTTTTTTGGGGGGGGGGGGCATAAGTTAACCTGCCTGGAGTACTATGGAATTTGTGCTTCTTGAGAACTTTACTTGTGGGAATCTTAAAATTGACTAGTGTAGGCCCTTGTTTGTGTGTGTGTTTGTGTGTGGGGGGGGGGGGATTATAGAGGGTTTTAACAATTCAAACAAAGTGCCTTATTAGGTTAGGGAAAAAATTGCAGAAATTTGTTGGTTATAGACCTTGGACAAAGATGGATATAATTCTCTCTGATCATGTGACTGGTCATAAATACTTTGATCAAAACCAGCCCTGACTAATACCACAATTAATAGTGTTAGAGGTGGCTAATGCACATTTAATTTATTGAAAGGTAATTTCCACTTAGTGTCAAATTATCAAAGGTTGTTTGTTTTTATCTTTTTTCCCCTACATATGTATGACCCCAAAATCACACAAGGAAATCATGGAGACTAATAAAAATGAACAAAACAAAGGAGTTAGAGAAGTTCCAACAAGAAGGAGGCATGATCGATTGCTTTATAGTTTTCAAAATGCAAACACCACTTTATGATCAAATGATTAACTATAGTAAGAAATAATAACAGCAGAAAATAAAGAGAATCATATTTAAAAATACCATGGCATTAATTTTGTAATTTCCCAGAAGTTACCATTGCCTAATATTCCACCATTTTCAAGATAAACCATTCTTGTTGGTTGAAAAATGATATTTCTAATGTAAACTTATTTTTCAAAACTCATCACTTTTATCTTTTGGGGCATTACCAACAAAATATCATCTGAGGAACTATGATTTATCACTTTTGTGCAGTTTTCATGAGAACTTACAAGAAATGCATAGAATCAGCAATTCTGGACAAACAAATGACCCTAAAGACCTCCAAGTGACTAATGGGGATTTAATGAAACTGAACTAAAAGACACCACTTAAAAAACAGTTTCCAGGATAACCATCCCTTATTTTGCCCTGTAGATGGCAGCACGTGCCGCGGTGATAAGTCAGCCCATTGATTCCCTGACAGTGAGGTTTATCCCGAGGCTGGTTGTGCATTTAGATTGATCCACAGTCAGTCACGACACATTTTACATGATGTGAGAGACCTCACTGGGCTTGTAAACAGCCTGATCCTGGAATTGGATTTTGAATTATTGACCGGTTGAGCTATCATAAGCTGTGTGCGGCAGCTAAAAGACCTGTGTGATAGAGCCTTAAGACTTGTGGGAAGAGGTTCAGTTTGATTGGTGGTAGCAGCTAGCTAGACAGGTCGGTGGCAGCGGTGGCTGCTCTAGTGAACTATTATATCGGAGAACACAACTTATTGACTTGGTTACTGGTACCAATTGAACCAAGGTTTTGCCTTGCAGCTCCTAACGTTACGCCACCATGGGCAGTCAGCCTTGAAACTGACATGCTGACGCATTGAGTCCAAATTTATCTTAATTACAAGGTACCTCCAAGCTTTTGTCTGGGGTTTGAGTCAGAGTAAAAACAGACTGAGTGGAGCAGTACTGTTGACAGAGTGTATTGTGCACTGAAAATAGCTCAACTTAATAAGGTTAACTATGAAAGGCGTAAAGGGACCCCTAAGATGTGTACTGGGGGCATTAGCTCGCCCGTACATAGGGGCAAAGACGGCGGACGCAAATATGGAGAATTATTTCGAGGAACTAGGTGTTGGAGGCTATGTTGGTTCTTCAATGTGTAGGTGCGGGGAATGTCTTGCATTGTCCAAGTGCTTCAGCACAGCTATCAACAGTGATAACGTCAACTATGACAGGTACTGTAACGTCATGTACCGACCAGGTACCCGACAACTTTATAAATTTCACCTTGCACTGTTACAGGCGCGGCGTAATGACCGCGAGGAGATACGTCGCAAGCTGGCCATGGGGACGGATGAGGAGTATTATGGAGGAGAACGCACGTTCAGGAAACCTAATCTTCAAACACGACTTCAAAGTGGGATGAACTTACAGATTTGTTTTGTGAATAACTCTCTGCCAGAGTCGGGTAATGTCCCTCCCGTCACAGCTGAGGGAAACCCCCAAGGAGAGGAGAAAAATCAGGAGGCAGAAGCAGACACTGGATTCTCCGAGGTATATCTTTTTTACTGAATTCTATTATTATTATTTAAAAAAAAAATTTTTTTTTTGAGGAATTTTTTATTTGTCATTTATTTTCCTTCAGTATGTTAAGAATAGTACTATTCTAAAAAAGTAAAAATGCTTTATAGTAAAATTGTCACGAATTTGCTGGTTTCTTGTTAAAAGTGCACAGTTATGATTCATTTCATACTACATTTGACCCTTTTCCCTAGTCATTTTGTTGAGTTACTATATGTAACTTTTACTTATTTCTGGAATTTGGGGCTATGTTTAAGTTTTCCTTCTTTCCTTTATCTGCATGGTAAGAATTCATTAGCCAAAATTATTCAATGAAAATTACATCTTACAATCATTTGTATTTTGTCAATAAGAATACAAAAATGGCATAAACCAATAAGAAAAAAAAGGAAATTTAATACCCCTAGAAAGGTACACTGAATACTATGCTTTAAAAACACGCTGAAGTAGTAACAGGTGTCTCTGCTTTGATGTGCATCCTAATGAGCACTGCCCCCAAGGACTGTGTTATTGACCTGGGGAAGGTTATTGGGTTTATAATGACACTGACTGCCTCGCTGAACAGACTACAATTAAGATGATTCAATTAGGAAGTCTTATGTTCCTCTCTATGGCTAATTGGTTGTCATGAAAAAAGGATTAACGTTTGTTGTGATGGATGGGTGTCTACCAACCAGATGTTCATTAACTCCGCTTTCTTTCTTAGCACACGCGCTATCTGCTATAAAAAACCACCATGTCTCTCTCTCTTGCTCTCTCTCTCTCTCTCTCTCTCTCATATCTGTCCATAGGTGACAAAAGCTTTCTGTTCTAATGGTTGTGAACTTTTCATGAATAGACATCTTTCTTACTTTATAATAAAGTAATCTTTCCCCATTTCTAACCTAAAAAAGGACTCAGAACTCAGTCATAAGATGAAGGTTGTGTCAGTATTTGTTTCGATCGGTTGATGTTCATTAAACAGACCTAACTATCCTGAAAATCTGTAATTCTTTGATTGATAAACAACATATCATCCTGACAGCACAGTTCACTCTGCTTCCTCTTCATTTCAGTCCTCAGCGATTGCCGAGACTACAGCCGAGACCCCTCTCCTGCAAGACAAGCCAGAACCAGAGCTCAATAAAAATAACGTCAGCAAGGCGGTAGATGATGAGGATTTTTTTGCTAAACAGGTGCAGTTACAGGCTGAGGCCAGGCTGGCGCTAGCACAGGTAATAATAATAGTAACTAATAATAACTTATAATACATAATATAATATATATTAATATATAATACAGATAGCACAGACCTCCACTCACTAGTAATTAATTCATGTGCCACCACTAAAATGTAATCAATTCTAGGTGAGCCCATTTATGACCAATCTTGAACAGTCTTAATTTTTTTTAAACCTTTTTGACTTAGACTGGCAAATAACAAATTGTCAGAGGCATAAACGATAGTGTTTACTTCCAGGCCAAGCCAATGGCGCAGATGCAGCTAGAGATTGAAAAACAACAAAAGAAAAAACAGTCTGTTGCAGAAAAAGTAGTAAGTACAGTATCAGTATGGTGATAGGTAACTTTATGATACATCGTCTGAGAATGGTTTGTAAACACAGCCATTTTTATTTATGTTTTTATTTATTTATTTATTTATTTATAAGTCTGAAATTTTTATTTATTTTGTCAATTGCTTGCTAAATCAGACAAAAGTTAAAAATGATTTTAGACCAAAAATAATTACTTTCATTTTCTCTGGTAAATTAGACTCAGCTCCGAGGACTATCTTTATGCTAGCTTTCAGGCCGTCCAGATATGGATTTTTATCGTAATTTTCTGACAGCGTTCCAGACAACCCTCCTACAATTATAAAAGGCCAACAGTTTTACCTTTGAGCAATGTAACTTGGATCAATGACTTATGAATCATTCCCATAGAAAAAAATTTGGGTGGAATCTGGAAGATCTCTTATGACAACAAAAGTAAAAAATGCCTGTGATGATGATGAATAAAACACGTCAGTTGACATTTGAATGAGGTCTGAAAGCATGACTTGAAAATCTACAGAATTTTTTTTAGTTCTCACATAAAAGGAAAAAAACAGGAATTATCATGATCGTAGTTGGGATGGAACAATTGATGTTTGATATCTGCAAATATAATTTGAATATCCAAGATTCCTACCAGATAATTATAGTCGGTGACCTTTTCACTAGACTTATCAATCGGTTCTTCATTTAAAATTTTACATGATGATGATTTCCTCTGACCTCTCCTCACACATTTGTGTTAAATATACTTATTCCAGTAATCATATTACAGTCCCAGAAGGACCCCACTTGCAAGGCTGAATCTTTAACAAAATTATTTTATATTTTCATGTCTTTAACTTGTTTGCCCTATTGTATAACTTATAATTATATAACAGTTCCAGAAGGGCCCAACTTTCAAGACTGAATTATAACAAGATTTACTTCATAATTTCATGTCTTAAACTCGTGTGCCCTGTTGTGTGGGTCTCTTGGTTGCTGTTGATTCCCAGTTGCCAGCAATGTCCAGAAGTCTGCATTAGATTAAACCTCAATTCACCTGTACCTTATACAGCAAATACTCCTAAGTTTCAGACACTGCGTTTATACCAATATTTAATTTCCTCGAGATCGTACATTTTTGTTTCAAAGAAACACATTTGACTTGATTTGAGAAATCTCCAAATCATCATCATCACCTTCTGGCATTACCAACTTAACACTTTTAGGAAGCTTGATATTATAAATTCACTCTGTTCAAATTTGGAAAACAGTTAAGGTACCTTCACCAACCCACCAAGCGAGTTTCTTTGCAATGTCAAGACAGCTTCATTGGAAATCTGAAGCAGTGATAAGATAATTAAATTCATAAGGAATATTTCCATGACTTGGAAGGCTAGTAAAGGTTATGGTTGGGTCATTCTGGATATAGTTTCCTGCCAGTCAAAATAACTGATGGACTGACCTGTGACTTTAACACCATGGGTAAACTAACCATCAGTCAATTTAGCAACCATATTACCTGTAGTAGATAGGTAGCTGTACATTTACTGCCAAGCTAGAATGAGTATGTCTTGTTGATAAAGGGAAATTTACAGACATTTCTAGGAAAGATCATCATTTTGCTACATAAAGGTGTAATTATGAGAATTCTGTGTCTAAAAATATGTCAATCTCTTTTGGACATCTAACAGAGAGGCAATTGGATTATGGTGATCTTCTCTGACAGTTATTGTGTTAACCTTGCAAAAAATCTGGGGGCTTGTTTTACAAAATGGCTGAAGTGGAAAATAGGCCCTAACAAACATAGACATTGAGACAAGAATATTAGACATCGAAAATTTAGTGTAAGTCCCATTTTGCAAACATTCTGAAAAGCCACTTGTCACTTTAGTTTCTGTCTTTTGATGAAGCCTCTAGTGCATTTTATAATCATTGTTTTCAATTTGGGGAAGAGTTATATTTTCACTGGCAACAACACCGCTTTCAGGTGTGTCAGTTTCATTTTTGTTGGTCTGTTGTTTGAAAAAAGCTCTTAAACCAATAATATCGAGTCAACATTATCTTGTGGGCTGTCAGAATTTGGCTTTTATGGCCTAAATGCTCTCAGTTCAACCCAAAAACTTTTGACTTTTTTATGAAACAGGCCTCAGGGAGTCACTCTGAATATTTTGTCATGTTTTATGACAGTCTTCACAAGGGATGCACAGGCCTATGACATTCAATTCAGATCCATTAGTATGTAGCAGTCACCTGTAGTACCTCATATAGACCAAATTAAATACAGCCAAGTGTTGCATTTTATCTGCCTTTATTGTCCCTTTGAAGGCAAAATGCCATTAATCGCTATTTTTTTTTCAGAGAGTTAAATACAGAGAGAGTTAAGTTTTGATGTGTGGTGTGATCTGCTGTTCACTTTGATCTTGATATCTTTGTCTCTTTACTCTGGTTAATGTCACTAATGATATCTGCACACACACACACACACACACACACACACACACACACACACACACACATTAAAAAATTCAGCTTATCTTTGCATTAGATGCTGATGCTTTGATGATTGCCTTTATAGAAAATCGAAATTTGCAATCTGTAGTTTCAGCATGATACCAATATTTTATATATATAATGAAGCACCCACTAAGAGCCTATTATCAGATGTTTACATCACTAGAATTGATGTATAAAGAATGAGATTTGTATGGGTTCGGTGAAGCTGCAGTTGTTAAATTCCACATACCCAGGTGAAAATCCTGAAAATCAATAAGCTTTGTGCATGTCTGATGCAGGTATTTTCTGGATGTCTGCCGGGTGACTGCAATAGATACGAATCACAGGTCCATATGTAGGAGTGGGATTTGGGGGGGGGGGGGGGGCAAAACAACTGCTCTTTTATTTGGAGGGAAAAGGTCCACTCTGAATCGAAATTTGATCTGGGTTCAATGCCATTTCTCAAGTTTGGTCAACTAAGGGATGTAAAAAGGTCAATTTTTTCAGAAAATAGACCCTAATCTCTCTTGGAATTTGCCATCTACAGGGCTGGGCTGTATAAACGGAATAACTTATTCAACTTCATAATTAGAGTCATAGCAGAGGGCAGTGTTTAACCATATGAGCCGATCTCGTTGCCACAGTGGCAAACTAGGAAATGTCATGGATATGAAAATGCCAGGCTTTTAGATTACTCTGGTTCTCCAGGGATCCTGAAGGTTTGTTCTGTAGAATTGGTTGCCTACAGACAAACAGGAGAGGCATCTCTGGGGATTTGTGGTAAAAATATTGTGTTGTGACTGATATGGATCCCAGGGTGATACAAATTATGGCTTTGGTTAATGAAAGAAGTATAGATTTGTGCGTGTTATTTTCATGTCGAGCCAAAACTGTATTTTGGGAGCTTAAGATGTGGCTGCAGTAACTTATTAATGCCAGCCAGCTCAAATATTCTGATTTCTTTTTTTTTCAAAATCATTTCTCTCTGCAGTAAACTTTAGCAGGTCTACAGGTCGTAGAGCTTAACTCCTTCTTTATACTCTCTGAACAAGTGACCCAAAAAGAATGGCAATTACACAAAAATAAAATTGTACTTCCTTTGGCATGAATAACATCATATAAGAAGGGCAAAATGTTTCATGAAATTATCATTCTTTCAGATTGGTCTGCCAGATGGAAGGAAAAAACTGACTCTTCCAGTGCTGCAAGAAATGAATGTGGCCCAGTTACAGGTGCTGGTGAATGATATGCACTCCCAGATTGAAAGTAAGTGACAGGGTGTACAGGAAGTAAGTGTACAGGGTGTACAGAAAGTAAGTGTACAGGATGTGAAGAAAGCAGGACTGTCCCTGGGATTTGGGGTACAGGGAGTCTAACCCAAGCAAGCCTAACCAACCCCCTGTCCACCATTCCATGCTCCCGTTAATTCACTCTTGGCTTTCTTTGCGCGAAAGTCAGATTTCAGGCACTAGCTAGCTTAAACACAGATACAATCATGATGAAAATGCCAAGGACTGGCGCTGTTTTATCTGCAAGCTATTCCATCTCTTTTGAATAAAAGTCAATTGTGATCATGCAGTTGTCCTCAATATCTTTAATTGTTTTATGCCACCCGTAGCTGAATTGATGACACTGTGCTAGACTGAGTGCTTAAACTGTCACAGTGGATCTTTCAAAAATTGGAAATGCGTGTTTGTTGAATCCAGGAAAAAAAAGAGATTAAACAGATTACATTGCATGTATTGAAATATAGTGGGGATCGATGAAGCACTCCAAAATGCAAACAGAAAAATGTGTTTCTGTAACAGCAGGTTTATGGAAATTTGGTAGCATTTTTTTGAAACCTGGTGAGGTGTGCACTGATATTTATCAGTTACCATTTCTGTGTTGAAATACAGCTGTGGAATAGTGCTGATCCCTGCAAAAATACTCATAGTGATCAACTGTATTAATTTCCATCCATAGTTTACAATACAGTGACAAAAGAAGCTTTTTCTTAATTAGGCATACAAACACATGCGCGCGCACACACACACACACACACACACACACACACTGTCAAAAACATCAGCATTTTTTTTCAATGCTGAAACTTGAAACATGCAATCAGCTGCACTAATCACCTGGAAAAAAAATCAATGATGACATTAAGGACCTGTGGAATAGTACAAACACTGCGCCACCTGCATCCTAGGCCCCGTGCCTCGATAAAATACTCTGACATTCTCCCAGCAAAATACGTGTTAACGTGATTAGATTTCCTATGTATTAGCTCTTAATGTGATGCCAGAGGAGTGGGGAAATCTTTAAGTGGGACGCGTAAGTGTGCATGATTTATTGATCTCCTCAGAGAAGAGAGCAGCTGAGGATAGCACGCGGCATGTCCATTTGTATATTAACTTACGTACCTGTGATGTCGTGCTGAAAACTGAAATTAATTAGCTTGCCAATCTTGTTTTCAGTTTACTTTTTGAGATAAACTACAGGTCCATTATAAAGATCATCAATGTTGATGATTTAATCCCCCCATGTCCCATGTTTCTGTGGTACACTGTGTTTGTGTGTGTGAATTTTACAGATACTGTTGTTCTTGAAATTAGAATGCTCCTATTGAGTGGTAGCAACAAAACTAAAAAGCAGACTATAGTTCTATTTTATTCAAAGAAAGGAACACTTTCAATGGTTCTTAAATAATATGTCTGAAAAATTGATAATTTTTCCCCATTGAAAAGATGGAGGCATTAACATACGCGTATGTTTCAGGGTTAATAATCTGTGAATACTTAGTGAAAAAAAAATCCTCTCTGTTCCTGTTAAAGGGTAGTAATGACACGACTTTGTGTTTGTGTTACAGGTTTAAATGAAGATCTGGTGAAGGCTTTAATGAACAGGGATGACTTTCATATGGAACAGGACTCTATGTTGGTGGACATTGAAGATCTGACACGGTAAATAAAATACTGAACCTAGTTGTTGATGATAGACCTAATGGAATGTATTTGTTGATGATACACCTAATGGAATGTATTTGGATGAAGAGTGCTTTAAGATTTGATTGCTTGAAAATTTGAATTGAAATTTAAAATAGCTTGATACAAAATGATGCGAATTCATTTGGGCTTTTTTCATTTTGCCATTTATTTGTAAATATACCTGCAAATGCCATGTACTCTGTGTATATTATATATTGTTTGTGAATTGTGTAATTTTATAGAAATGTCAATTATTTTGACAGGCTTTGAATGCTAGTTTGCTAAAATAATTCCACATTTTTGATATTTTATTTGTCATAGTTAACAGTTCACAAGATTCCATCAAGCTGTTTTCGACACTCCACAACTTTTCAGAGAGGCAAATCCATTTTGTCTTGAGACTTAATTGCTGAGAATGCAATTTATTAATAGATATTAACTGATGTAGTTCCCATGATTTAGGTGTTTATAGCTCAGTTAACCTGAAGATTAATGTTTACTTTTCCATTTGCATAAATGTATTTCAGCTTAATTTTGATTACTGGAATTGGAATTCTACAGCATTTCCATGTTAATTTTGTCAGCATTTCCTTTGATATTTCTTATTTTGGTGTCAATTTTCAGTGGGAGGATATGGCCGCAAGCCATGAGTGAAAATGTCATGTAGGTGACAGTATATGCTCCTGTACTACAATAGTGTAGGGGGAGCTGCAGTCAGCATTTCACAGGGTTGCCAACTGTACATTGTTGTCATTGCTTATTCCCCTCTTGATGTTTATGAAATTCAGTGTAAATTAAACATTTTTACCATATTTTGGGTTGTCGTGTTGTTTGTGATACTTGACAGATGTTGGCAACTCTGATTTAGGGCTTCTGTAGTTTCAGCTATGCAAAAATAATCAATAAAGACAGAGTGATCAGCAAAACTTCAAATTGCAATGGAAAAAGTAGACTATACTCATAAGTAGGTTATTACATTAGATTTTTTCTTGGCATCTTGTACTTTTGCAAGTAAGCTAGGAAAGGTTTGTGTGTGTGTGTGTGTGTGTGTGTGTGTGTGTGTGTGTGTGTGATCTTTTGCTTACCTATACAGGTAAAATATATATTATTGGAATGCTTGGAACCAGATGAATAGTTGCTGTCAAGAAAAATGTCTCTGTTATTATATTTTCAATACAAAAATACTGGTTCAGTAAAGTTTTAAACTCAATCCAAAGTTTCATGGTTGCTGGTCACTCTTGTCTTGTGTCTAGTGATTTGGGGTTGTCTTGACTGATTTAGCACTGACATCTGGTGGGAAATTTTCCTGAATAATGATATCTTTTTAGGGGGCATAAATGGTTTGTTTTTATCTTATAATCTCTGGTGAACTGAAGATTGCACTTTCCTTTTCTTGCAAAATTAGTTCAGTTCTTTCTGAATATCCATTTCTCTTTAAATGATTAATTTAAAATCAGTTGAAATTTTTAATATTGAAAAGGGATTTATAAGTGAAAAGGGATGTAAAAGCTTGATATATATATATATATATATATATATATATATATATATATATATATATAGTTACTGTAGTCATACATAGCAATGAAAAGAAGTTATGGCCAAAGCTGAAAACATTAATTTACAATATAGCCAAAGTAGATTATGAAATGTCGGCAAAGGTATGGTATCTCTTAGCAGTATGATGTATATATTTACTTCACTTTAGAAATATCAGCTGGCCAGTTTGTGGCGTCTCTTCATTTTTCTCTTCCATTTGTTACTTTTGGAGTTGGTTTATGGCCTTCTTACCTAATATTTTACCTAACAAAGTCAAACACCATTGTTATATACAGACTTGACATTTAATATCAAAATTTTTCCAAAACCAACCTTCTTCAATTTTTCCTTATCTTAAAGTAATAACTGAAAACAGCATATGCTATCATGTTTGACATGCCATAATGAATCATTCAGTGTCAATGTGTCGTCAAGCATTTAATTATTCACAACGTCATTACAAACCACATCCGATTTCATGATGAATGACTTGCTGTGCAGCAGTGTGCCCTTGGGAAAAGTATCAAGTCACCTGCCTTTTCTCACACAGCATATAACAATCATGACATAGTTAAAAGATTTGCAACCAATAATCCGTGACCATTTCTGGCTGATACCAGAGCCCTCTCTGAGCAAGGCATTCCTTTAGAATGTTTTCTGAGAATTTGATCTGATTTTGCACTCCACAAATCAGTTAGAGCTGGTTGAGGTAAATTTTTTTAGTCTGGACCAGTAAGCTGTTGGTTCTGCGAGTAATTTTTGCCCAAAGATTCTCTGTTGGGTTTATGTCATGGGATATTGACAGCTAGGACAACTGGTTCATCCCTTGGTTCTGCAGGAAATATGTTATTGCAATGGCTCTTTGTGGTCTGGCATTATTATTTTGGAGGATAAAGTTGCCCCGGAAGTGGCTTCTTGCAAATGGTAAGCAAGTTTTCTCTAAAATGCCCCTGTATTTTACCTGGTTTAGGATACCATCAATTGCCACCAATGGTGCTTTGGCTCCACTTTGAAAGCCAGCTCATGCACAGATACTGCCACTTTTACCAGTCACTTTATGGGTGACACCAACCCCAGCTTGTGGAGTATCTCCTCTTGAAGCCTGCAGACTCTTATACGGCCATCACAGTGGTGAAACTCAAACATTGATTCTTCCATAAAAACCACATGGTGACAGTGTTGTGCGCAGAACCTCAAATGGTACCTTTCCCAGCACAGTCACGGGCATTGATGTTGTGCTGTTAACAGAGGCCTTTTTCAAGGTTGCCTGGCATAGTAGCCAGCTAAAATTAGTCTGGCATTCACTGGCGTTCTGGATACATGATTTCAAATGGCAATTTGCCACTTAGTTTTAGAACTACTTCCTCGACCTTTGTATCCACCACAAGGGACATAAGGTCATATCCCATCACTGAGCTTCACAATCTCACCATCTCATTGTCCTCATCTTTATTTCTGTGGACAGGTTTATGCTGTTTGCCTCGGATCTCCTCATTGTCTTGTTTAGCCAAAAGATGTTGCAGATCATTGTTGCCACTAATGAAGCTCCCTACGTGCTTTAAGTCTTAAAACTATTCTAGTTCTTCTCCATAAGTGATAACTGCTGTTCTTTTTGGTGTGTTTTTGATACATTACTCATTTCTTCTGGTTGCTTTGAAGACCAGCCTGTTGTGCATTATGTGATAATTTGTCAGACTTTTTCCCGGGAATGTGAAGTGGTGGTTGACAGGGTTGCGATATCCTCTGCAAAGCCAGTGTCATCTTGATGTGCTATATTCTTTCACATTAACCAATTAATTGTTGCCACATTATCTGTACCATGAGACTTTGAGCATCCATTTGCCAAACTTGGGAGTGTATTTTGTCCAGTTGTTGCAGCATAACGATAGGAGCAAGCAGTCTCTTTGTCTGGTTGTGACTTTAGGACACCCTGGTCATGAGGTGCAGCAGTCTGGGTATGCCTCTGGGCCATTTAAGACACTGTTCCTCAACTCACATTGAGCGGTCTGGCACTGGTAGTTTGCTTCTCTCACAATGCAACAGTATTGTGGCATCTTGATTCTATTAGTCCATGTACCATATGGCCAACCAAGACTGCAAAAATGTTCAAAGTCTTCTGACTAGGCATTGATAAAAATTTTGACTTTTTATACAGAGACGCTGCTCTTTTATACTCATTCTTAAACCAGACTTGAAACAAATGACCACACCTTACATAACATAAACATTCTTTGGACAAGATGACCAGTTAGATGCTACCTGACACACCTGGCTACATGTCTACCTGTTTGCATTTCTCATGTGTGATTTACATTTTCTTAAAACTAGTGCATTTATTACGAACACTTAGCTGGAAAACTAAAATATTTGATGCCAAATGTCAAGTCTGTATGTATACATTTCAAACTACATAATGGCAATTGATTTTTATGTCACGTTTGTGAAAGTTTGTGGGCAATGAATTTAAGTAATCTGCACAGATTTTCTGAACAGAAATATCCTTATTTTAGCACTTTAAATAATCCCATTGTTGAATTTAATCTTTTGAATGGTCTCTGGTTGATACTTTCAAAAATGTCATCATTTTATCACTTTAAATAATTTCTTTGTTCAATTAAATTTTTTGTATAGTCTCTTCTTGATATTTTCTTGCTCACCTCACCAGCATGTTCACCGGCATCTTTCCCTTTTCAGACGTGCTCAAGAATGCGCCCAGCGCGTGAGCTCACGAAATCAGCGTCGAAAAGAAAAGGGCAGCAGCTGATACATTAAAACCTGTCTCACAAGGAGTTGGCTAAAAACTGGACTTAATTCCATGATGTCACAAAATAATGTCACATCCCTTCACTGGCATATGCATGGCAGTAGTCACAACCACTTGGGAAGCACTTCACTGATCACTGTATAGTGTAGAGAATTTTTCCCCTCTTGGTTGAGCAGTTTTCCAGTTTTAGTCAAGCTTGAATATATACATGTGCCATGAAGATGCAACCAAGAATCAGTAAGGAAAAAGACAGGGCAGGTGTTACTATAAGGATTACGCTTATCACAGAAACATTTGGTCATACATAAATGGAGTCTCAGATAGAGGCGAGATACAGTCATTCTCTTTGTAAATGGTTTGCACCAGTCACTATGCTGTTCTCCTCCCCATGGCTGTGTTATATACATATTTCATTTTCAGAAGAGGTGGCTTTTTGAAGTAGAGATTGCAGTAGTTGTGCCGGTACAGCTGTGAATATGTGATTTAACTCTGGATTGTGCTTGTTGAGACGGACGAACTTCAGGAAGATGGATGAACTCCAGGCGACCATTGGTGCTGAATTGTGAAAGATGTCACATACCTTGGTATTTGATATCTAATTTGAATAATCAGGAACATGATGGAAATTGCCCCTTTAAAGAGATTTATTTACTGTTCATGCATACCAGAAATGTTCAAGTAGAAACTTCAAGGTGATTTGTTTTTTTATTAAAATGTTGCATTTGACAACCTTCCGTAGATTGTGTCATGATGAGCGTTGCTGCTGAATATGTGAAAGATGTCACTTACTATGGTGTTATATGATCAGGAAGAAGGAAATTGCCCATAAATTCAACCATATGGGCCGTAGTGATAGCCCATCATTCAAATTACTGGTTGTAATGTAACCAAGGAGCTCCATAGGACCAGAAGGAGATGTGCTTGGGATGATTTCCCAGAAAAAAAATGGTCTGAAACTTCAGATGTAAGATTTAGTCTACTTAAAATCATTTAATTAAACTACTACTGTTAAATCTTGGTCTTTGAATTAAAGGCAACATAAGATATTTACTTCTTCTGTGAAAGGACTCCTGTAATTGCCATATTTGCTCTCAGTGGAAAAAAGGACGGCATCACTGGATGTATTGAGAAGGCAGAAACACGCATTTTGTATGTAGACAGGTTCTCCACAAGTAAATGACAATAAGGTTGTAGGAGAAACCGTTACCCCTCTGAAAGAGCCAATCGAAATTCACTCGAAACTAGATTGAGGCACAGTGATGGCTAAGGTGGTGGATTTGTCACCATATTATTGTACTATAAATGGCGCTTCTACACACTTCCAAGATAAAGCTGTTTAGTGCAGTTAGAAAACGGGCTTTACAGAAGTTGACTTCCAGATGTGTAACAAAAGACTTGACATCTTATTTAAGTACCTATAAGTGACTTGATGTTTTTGCTTTCTGAGGATTCTGGAGTTAAGATTTGATGAAACAGGTGCTCAAGTATTTGTTTAAGTAATTATGATCATTTATGGGAAAGTTTGTTATGTTCTTGCTGCTTTGTTTCCAAAGTACGCTGTAATTTGGTTTAATTATTTTAAATCTATTTTTAAAAAACATACATGTTACCTTTTTTGCCTCAAATAGTTTAGAGGAAATCTTGGTCTGAAGTCACTAAGCAATCCTCAAGTATTGGCTTCTTTGTCCAAAATTCATGTCAAATACACACATGAAGTTGGAAAATTTCAATGTAAAAAATAATATTATTATTTTATTAGAAAAACTTAGTGAAACCAGCCACTAAAATACTAGCAAGGCAGTGCTTACTACAGGACGCTTCCTCAAGGTAGCTGTAAGTGTAGAACTGAGTTTACATAAATGAATTAATTTATGAATAATGTAGCTGTTAAAATTCATTATATTTGTTTATTCTGGTTACCGTTATGGTAGCAGCGTACTCATTCACACACTTTGCTCTGTAGGTAGTGTCGTCACTTGATATACAGGACTTCGATAAATATGTTGAACTTTAATTGACTATATTGAACTGAAGATATGGTCATGAATCGAAACCAATGTGATACAGATAAGACACAGTGCAATATAGGCATTGTGCTTTACCTTTTTTATATGCCTCAATTGAAGTATTCATACTCGGTGTGAAATATGTGTATGTATTGTTTATTAATTTCAATGCCTTTAATTGAGTGCATTGGCTGTTTAAAGGATTGCTTCGTTCATATCGATGCCTCAACAGCTTCAGGATTACAATGCATTAATTTTTAACACGCGGAACTGTTGACGTATTTCCTCATGGCGTGAACTAGCTGCTTCATTTCTTAATGTCCATGCATACCTTTACTTTAACGACTTTTATTTAGAATGTAGTTACCACGAAACATTTAGGTGGGTACTAGTTCGAAGGTGAACGCGTCAATGACAAAATTTAGGCGGTTCTATTAACTGTATCACATATCCCTCTTTAAAACAACAACAAAAAAAGAAATGGAGAAGCTGGTTCACATCGGACTTGGCAATGTTCATCATGATGTTAAGTGAACTCATTTAATTATAACCATATTGTATAAATTCTAGTCTGCTCGATTTCATTGCCTTTCCAATAAAGGTCACTAGCAGTGTATTATGCTAAACATGATTATGTGTTGAATTTTTATTTAAAAAAAAGACACGTCCAGGAACCGGGGGTTTGAATGATCTCAGACTGGGCTTATGAAGTTGATGAAAATTAAAGTACTTTATTTGTATATGATTTTGCATACAAATTCGTGTAATACATATGCATATACATGACATCGTAAACGATATCAAACATTTTTCCCCGACAAATATCGATCCGCTAGATTAAGCCACCAGGCAAACAGATACAATTACGCATGAGTGTGCAGTGGCGAATCCAACTGCCAAACAACACTCCTTCTATGTTCATTTAGAATTAAAGACAACCACACCTCATTCAAAATACATCTTTCATAATATGAAAAACTAAAAAAAAATGATATTTTGATGTGTAGCAAACTGGCCATGTCGGGCGAGACTGAGGAGGAGGGGGTAACTTGACTCCCTTGTCCAAAAGCCAAGCCATTTAATTGTTGTCAATATCTCAAACTTGTGCCATACAAAGCTGAAACCCGTGTTAAATGAGCACATGCCATAGTGAACCGGTCCAGCTGATTGTTCCATTCCATGTGGAAAGGGCCCAACTCTCAGCTGATTCATGCTCAGAAAATAAAGCACCTGCGATTTACCTTGTTTGTCCGGTGGTTTAATTCGGTACCAGAGCAGATCTCGGGCAAGAGCTGTCAGGAAGTTCTAATGATTCAAATATCAACCTCCCCCACCAACACCAGTCACGCCATTCGCCGTCAAATCCCATTATAAACTGAAATCGTGATTACTGTCGGCCATGTTTTAAACTCCTCGGGCTGTTGACAAGCCACCCACCCCCACCCAAACCAATCCCACCTCTCCCAACGGAATATTGTTGCATTGCATGTTTGACTATTACCAGCTTTACCAGAAAAGACAGCCGGCTGGTTTGACGAAGCCTTTGGTAACTAACGGTTATTGTTTGTGTCGTGCATTTGACGAGCACCGCATCTACAAGCCTTTAAGTAACAAAGTCTCCGTAAAACCGATTCTAGGTTGCTAGCAGTGCCAATTTTTAAATCGCACACTGCGCCGATCTATTTCATATCATTTCGACAAGAATATTCATGAATATTGCACAATGGAGCCCACAGCCAAGCACCGCTTTAACTGCAGTAGTAAAAGGCTCCCGTTGTCAGTGCAATGAATAATGTCCTATTCAATCTCGAGAAAAATCATCTTTAACACTGGAACGCAGGGTGGTCCTTCATCCGGGACAGGGGCACTGGGTTCTTCACCCACTCCAGGATCTGACTCATGGTGACGATGTACACGTTCTTGTTGGACAGAAGTTCGTCAATGTATTGATGGAGAGCGTAAAATCTGGAACATAGCGTTTTTTTTTATTTCCATGCAAACATAAACGTCTAAGAAAAACGAGAACCTCACCCGACGGGCACCCTGAGCTTCAGAGATAACTTGACACTAACCTCTTCACTATAGCCTATCTTCATCGTGTCAAGTTACCTCTGACCACATTCGATTGCCTCCGCCGCCCGCCAATCAAATTTAAAGCCCGCACTCAATGACTCATTGAACGATCTAGCCAATGAACGCGAACGAGTCAAAGCGCGCTTTGTTCAAATCCGGACCAATCAAAGATAAGGCTGAATATCAGGGACTTGCCGTAACCTGTGGGCAGCACGCAAAATACATCATCCCTCAGTAGATAATTATGCAGGGCATCAAACTGCTCTGGTTTCAATTCCGATATACTCCATGCTTTCTTTGTGTACGGTTATGCACTCGGAACTACTCGGATGTCTCCGCACTCGACAATAACTATGTTGTTAGTATGGAGCTTGCGGAATTAGCCGAGGATTGCCGATTGACGGTCAACTAATCAGCGTTTTCACCAAACTTTGGTGAAAAATTTTGAAACATGGATTCGATTGGCTTATATAAACTAGAGGTAACTTGACACGATGAAGATAGGCTATAGTGAAGAGGTTAGTGTCAAGTTATCTCTGAAGCTCAGGGTGCCGACGGGTTACATCCCCTCTCAAAGTTATTTAGTAAAATCCTGTAACTGTTAGCAATGCTTTCTATTGAGGACAGTATAGTATAGTCGTAGCGTACTGTGGCTTTACAATCCTTTGAAGAGAAATGCCTTTAAATAGACCAACAATGTACTTATTATAAGAAAAAGAGAGAGAGAGAGAGAGAGAGAGGAACCAACGATAGCGTACCTGTGACTCCACCAGTCTAGCCACGTGGCGTGCGTACTCATTTGGAATGGTGCTCGGTTCGTGTGGTAAAAACGCTTGAAATTATACCTTGAAAAAAGAAATAAAGATTTTATGCAAATACAGTGGCTTGGAAACCCCTACCTTTAAAGGTCTAATATACACATACCCTCTACATGTACCAGAGTCACAAATTGATTTTTCACTAGATACTGGGGTACATGTATTTAAAGCTATGTCTTTGGCAAAATCATGACGATTTTGCTTCAGCTCAATTTTTTTGCATAAAATTCATTTCATCGCTCAGCTGAGTGCTTTGTTTTTACGTTGAACAGTTGAGGCAACTTAAAAACCAACTGTTCAACTGTTCAACGTTCAAACAACTTAAAAACCAAGGACGTTTTCACCGACCTGAAGTACCCCAGCGTTTCTTCCTTGGATTGCGGCCAGCAGGCAGTGTCTATCATGGTACACCGCGTCTTCAGTTTGCCCTTGTCGTCCAACAGGAAGTGGATATTGGTTGGGAATTCCCAAACGCCAGGGAAGGGCTTAGTCGGGCAGTTCTTCATGGTGCAAAGCATCCTCCCGGGGACGTGGTCCAGTGTGAACGGCCACAGGGGCTCGGAGTTGTCCTTCAGACCCTGGGGGTGGTAGGGGACCATGGTGGCGTCGTATTTAAAGCCGTGGTCTTTTAGCACCTGGAATTCGTTGTCGCCGCCAATGGCAAGGAAGGGGCTGCGGTATCCGATCATCTCACCGATGGGGATACCTAAAATGGATGGAAGTGTTTTCTCTCCAAGTGTTTCAAGAACATATTGCCGTTTGTTTTATTGTTTAGTCAAGAACCTTTGAAAGGCCTAAGTAAACATATCAAAACCTGTTGAATAGCTATGGCCGTCCGTTGATGGAGCTTAGAACTGAGCCGGCCTTATGTACATGTGGGTCTCCTGTTAAACAGGGTCCGGATCCCAGTGACTTGTACGGGTAAGCCCCGCCCTAAATTTTGACACGCTAACGCCTAACCTCAATAATTATAATGGAAGGTAGACTCTGTCACACTAACCCTCAGATACTTAACACCAGTTTAAGTTTAACCTCTGATCAATAAGATCAACTCACCCGTCTCCTCGTGTGTGAATGTTCTCTGTCCCACGATCTCTTTGACGTAATTATCATAGGAACCATGGTACCAGTAGGTCAGGTTGTTTATGTGGGACACAGTGTGAATAGCTATCTCATGACCGGCATCGTAAAGTTCCTTTACCTGTCATAAACAATAGGACAGAATGATAAAAGTGGGTTTAAAAAAAAGCTCAGAAAATAAATAAGGGGATCATTATTATTTAACACAGGCGCAACGCCGTTTATAGCATCGTTCATAACTTAAAAAGTTTGTAGTTTTTTATTGTACAAATACGATATCAATCACGCGAGAGGAAAATGATTGTGGTAGATGTGACGCAGAACACCGCGGCACAATGCACTGTCCCATACCTGGTTATAGACTGTGCCGTTGTGTGTAAGGAAATACGTCGCTCCAATAGAACAACCGTTAGGATTCTTTCTTGACGGATGGAAGAGCAATCTGCAATAATTACAATGGCTTAATATTTAAAAAAACAGCAAATAAATGAATTTAGGCCACACTTTTTTAATTTTATGGATGACATCCTGCGCGCGCACGGATTTTCGCCCGTTTTCCAAAAAAAAAAAAAAAAAAAAAGGCCCCCCCCCCCAGCCCCCAACGAAGTCGGTTGTCGCAAACGTTGTTATTGAATTTGCAAGGAAATGAG